GAAGCCTCTTTTCATTGGTAAGTTGCAACACTTTAAATGGTGCAGGGAAAATAATAGTACGACGCAGGACAAAAAGTTAGATTATCTGTAACATGTAGAAAAATCTGGGATGTAATCATGCAATATTTGGTATTACAGTAATTCCCATTAAATCCACTAACTTCGTAACAACACCAAGAAATTGGAAAAGGCACGACCACTGACCTGTCCATGAACTTGGCTGGTTACCATTTTCCTTTTAGTTTTGGCTTGGTCCTCTATCCAATTCCGCTGATAAAATAATTAATTGAGACATAAGTCCAACAAACTTTCATCAGCTGATTCGTAATCTCATATTAAGGATTTGATAGCTTACAAAGCTCTCGGATTCGCAGGTAGCATTGTTCTTCTGAAGTTTTGCCATTGCCTTAATCCACTGCCTTTTTTTAGCCTTTCTCCTAGCACTTCTACTGGGATGCTGCAAATTCCAAGGTATTTTATACTAATTTTTCAGGGTGATCATGAAGAATAGATCAAGAAAGAGGAACAATAATATTAAGAAGAAGTATTATACATATGAAACTCAGTAATGTGAAAATATATCGTGGAAAATAATGATTCTCAAAAGGTAGAATCTCAATGATGTCAAGTCATCCCAAATCAACCACCATATGACCAAGAATAGGTATTCGAAATAAAATAAACAAGCACAAGTATATCTAGTTTGTTAAGCAAAAGACAATAAAATGGAGAATTGAAAAGTTGGCGCTCATAATAACAATATAACTTCGATCAGTATAGTCCTGTGTGTGACCTTTTTTGTTTCTGTTCGGACAATTTCTCCATCCTCAACATCTTCCTCACTCTCCTGGATTTTATCATTTCTGCAGATAAAAGCATGAGAAAGATCTAAAAATATTATTAACTGGTGATTAAGTCCATCAACGAAGATATATCAAATATAAGTAAGTCATAAAATGGGGGAGAAAAAGAACAATAAGGAATCATACACATTCCTGATTGCAACTTGCATAATCCTAACAGACACCGAACCTAATAATAGTTCTCATAATTTTAAATAATATATTATCCAAAGGTAGGCATGCTAACCCAATAACCTTTTATGGCATCACCTTCTTGTTTCCTTTAAGCAAGTAAACTTAGTAAGATCTGAAGGAATGGCTTAAATTACATTCTCATTAAACATTAGTTCCACAATAATGATAAATAACTTTAATTCGTTTTTGCATTAATATAAACAAAAAAGCATCTTCTGGTTTTGAATTACTCAAATAATCATAGTTTCGTTTGATTAATATTAATCAAATATATTAAGTTTCATTTGATCAAAATAATAATAATTCTCCAAGCCCTTATAAACTATTATTGAAATTCTTGTTCACTTTTCTAAATTCTCAAGGAAAAACATATTCCAATTTCCATCATATTTCAAGTAATCATGAAGTATGGATCCTGTCCAACCAAGTAGAATTACTAAATTGTAAAAACATCTCAATGAATTGTGAAATTCGAAGGATGGAATATCTCAATTCCAGTACCCTTTGTGCTTCACTAAAACCATCTTATTTCATTAACACGGAAAAAAATGTTATGCTGATTTGTGCTCCTAATCACTCGTTAGTGAGTTGCAACAGTATCATGAATAAGAAATTACTTAGCTGGTAAAATTAAAAGGGTAAGGCTGAAATAAATCACAAGTTGGAAGTTCCATATTAGTATTTTTCCATTAACAGACTCCGCGATTAAATAAGTATCAGGTTCCGAGAATAAAAAATCTTTTGCAGTTGGTACTACAACAATTCAGATATCAGAAAAAATAATTAAGGAAAAAAAAAACAGCGGAAAAAAAAAAATGTTCCAGAGAAAATATAACTTCCACATCAGCTCACCTTGTGATGCAAGGCACAGGACTGTGACTCTTGAAATTTAATTCAGCAGTTTCTTCATTTTTCTCCACATTATCTTCATCGCTAGCCTCATCTTTTTTCTCCACATGCGAAAGGCTATTCTTTCCGGCAATGTCTTCATCAAGAATAGGCTTCTCATTCTTTTCCTTGTGACCATCATCTGCTATATCTTCAGTAGCCTTAGCACGCCGTTTTTTCTTCCTGATAAAAGATCAAAGAAAAAGGATTTGAAATGATCATGAAAAGCACAGAATGAGAAAACAGAACTATAACACAGCCTAGAGGAAAAATCATGTAAGTTAAAGGGTGTAGCAACACATACTTAGAGCCTCCAAGTTTTTCTGGTGCTTTTCTTTTGCGGCTTTTTGAAACGGCCTTCGAACATGAAGGATCCTCGACATCCT